TGTCGCTCCACCTGACTATATGTGTGCGTCTCTCTGTCTGTCTGCCTGTCGCTCTGTCTGCATGTCTGTCTGTCTGTCTCTGTCTGTCTGTCTGTCTCTATGTTTCTCTTTCTCTCACTCTCTCTCTCTCTGACTCGGCTTCTCTGTCTCCCCTCTCTCTGCCACTGTTTTTGCTGTTTCTCTCTGTCTCTATCACCTTCTTTCTACATCTCGCTCTTTTTCATCACCATCTCTTTCTACGTATGTTGTTGTCTGCAACTCGCCCTCTCCCATTACTTACCTTGTTTACGGCTGCCTCGTGTGATGGTGGATCAGACCTTGAATTGAGAAGAGTTTGAGAGGTAACACGTCGACAGCACCCAAGAGGAACATTCGGCTCACTTCTAGCGCACAAAGCAGTCCTTTGCGAACCCACTGCTGCTCAGCTTGGACGGGGGCAACGTGATCTTTCATCACCTCCAGAAGAACCTCTGGATCGGACCGGCCCGCTACCCCCGCCTCCGCTAGAGTCAAGCAATACAAATACTTGAAGCCGAATCAAGTCTTCACCTTGCAGGAAGACAAATCTCCCCGACGGGGGCGGGGTCATCAAAAAACGCATGGCCGGTTACGGGAACCCCAAAACCCCAAAGTGTTGTCATCTCCTGGAGCCGCATCTTTTGCTTCCACCAGGTCCCGCTGGCCCTCCACCGGCGGAGGTGCCCTCCTTCTACTTCCATTGTGTCCACCGGGGCCCCCGAGCACCAGGACATGCTGGGGGGGGCTACATCTGCCGTGCGAAACGCGCGGCGCGACAATACATTTACATACACATACATACACATACATACACATACATACACATACATACATTAGGGGAACAACAAGTGGAATAAAGATAAAAACTCGGAGGTCTGCGCGGATTTCTCGGATCGGCGCTGGACCCCCCTCCCTGGCGCGCGGAGCGCGCCAGGGGCGGCGCCAGAGGCGCCGCCGGGGGGCCCCAGCGCCGATCCGAGAAATCCGCGCAGACCTCAGAGTTTTTATGATTATGCCACTGTTTGTTCCACTATACAAGCATACACATATACATATATATATATATATATATGTATGTATGTATATATATATATGACACTTGGGATTTCTATACGTCGTTCTACTTCTGCGGCCTCCGCCGCCCGTCTGCCGCCCTTCCGCGCCCGGGACGAGGCGACGGCCTGCTGCCGATCCTCGGAGGCGCGGGCCCCCCCCCACGCCACTGGCAGGCGGCGGTGCCACGTCGCTCCCTGCTCCGGGGCGAGGCTGCCCCACGCATATCTGCGCGCCACTGCAAGAGATTTTCTCGGCATGGCTGCTCCCAAGGCAAAGGCTGATCACCATTGTTCGTTTTCGTCTTGCTTTCGTGCTCCCTCGTTCGGTCTTCGTTCTGCCTTTTTGCTGCAAGACGAAATCCCAAACGGAGGCGGCCCGCGAGAGCGCAATCGCCAAAGCACAGTTGAGCTCGAGCTTTGCGTGCTGCTGGGGGGCGTTGCGCCTTTGCGCTTCAGCCCCCCCCCCGCACCTCCGCCCACCCCTGCTGCCCCCCCCCTGGCCCCCGCCACTGAGGCAGGATAACCGTACGGCACGTTCATGTCGTGACGACCCGAGGCGTTGGTTTCTGACACTGGCGGCCACTGCCGTCGTTCAACCTTGAACGCTCGCGGCGGCGTCGCCGCTGGCCGGCACGACGTGAACCGATCGCATGCCCCTTGTAACCACAGGGAGGGGGTTAATACAATCCGGTTTCCCGGGGGGGATAATAACTTCTTCTCCCGGCAACTCGTCTGTACGATGACATGTCAGTCTGGTATAGCGATGTCCTGCTCGCTCTGTGATAGTGTTCGGGGTACAGGGAGGAGGGGTACAGAGAGGAGGGAGGGGAGGGACTGGTCTGTTCCACGGGCGCTGGACCCCCATGGAGGAGCCTTTGGTGCCTCATCCGTGTGGAGAACATGGATAGAGAACAGAGAATCCACCCCCATGATAAGCACCCCGACAAGTGAAGCAATTTAGTAAACGCACCCTATTTAGGACTCGAACAAGGATGGCTGTTTAGAAGACGCCCAGGGCCGTTTAGTACACGCCAAGTATCGGGGTCGGGGTGGCGTGCCCTTCCCACAATGGAAAGGAGGAGACAGGAGGGGGGTCCGACGCCGATCCAAGGAATCACCGCGGAGCTCTGGCAGTTTATGTTTGCACACTTTGTTCTTCCTCGAGAGAGGAGAGGGGGCACACAGGAGGGCAGGCATGGAAGAGCCTGGATGGGACGAATCCTGCTGTGACGGGCCTAGCGCGCGCCATGCCTGGAGGCTCTCTGACGATGCCGCCCCCTTCTTGACGGTCATACGGCATGCAGGTATCAGCTCGCCATCGGCGCGCCGCGGGCATTCGTGAGCACATTCTTGCGGGAGCGTGCTGCTTCTGCAGCCCACTCGCCGCCCTGCAGGGGCCCACCCGCGGCCTGCCCGTGCTCCGCTCGCCCCCCGTGGCAAGCTGCGTGCCCAGTTGTGCGCGCCTGGAGAGAGAAAGCCCCTTGCGATGCGGCGCCGCAGCAGCACCGGTTGTGTTGAGCGTGGGCTGGCTCGCGACGGGGAGGAGGAGGAGGAGGAGGAGGAGGAGGAGGAGGAGGAGGGCACCTGTCGTGGCGGGCGCGGGGGAGTGAGGCCACCTGTCGTGGCGGGTGCGAGGACTAGCAGGGGCCAGAGCGCGGCATTCCCACACGCCCTGGACAAAACACGCCGAGGCAGGCTTCCAGACTTGGCTGGCTGAAGGTCCGCAGTTCGCCTTGGAGGGGATCTCGAGCTGGCCCCCCTCCCTGCATCCCCTGGCTGCCCTGGGTTCGAAAAGATCGGCTCCCTGTTCCAAGACTGCCCTTGGGCCTCCCTTCCGAAACGGCCGGGCCGACCTTACACTTTCGCCGGCGTGCCAGCGCCGTCTGCAGGGCTCCCAGATGGCATTGCTCACCTTAGTGCGCGGAGTGGCGATACTCGGGGGTGGACAGAACCCCCTTTCGCAAAACGCCTTTTAGTGGAAGTTGCCAGGGGCACTCCATGTGCGCATGGCACCGCATTCTGAATGCACACCAGCGGCGTAGCTAATCGACGCCCGATAACAGCCGAATGCATCCGGCGAAACGCACGTCGAGTCGCGAAACCGACCGCGGGACTGTACTGGTACGCTCCCGGGGTACGCTCGAATGCCACTGTCGGGTGATCCAGTGCCGACTTCCTGAGTCGACTTGTCTGGGTGGGGGTTTGAGCAGGGACCGACCGTCCTGGCATTCCTGTAGGCCTACTACGAAATGGTCTTAGAATCCAGCAAATGTTCGAACAACAAAAACAAGGTTCTTAGAACGTAAGCCCGATGTGATAAAACATGAGACAGACTCCGCCAGACATGGTCCAAGAACACTTCGTTGAAGCCACAACGAAAGGCTCTCAGAACATTGCCTGGCAGGGCTCGAGGCACGCCGGGACGCTTCGCCACTGCTTGATTGGGGGGGGGTGCTGTCTGCCAGCGCCCGCGACAGACTCTCCCGCACACAGCGGGCCAGGCGGGCGGCGTGGCTGCCACCGCTCGTTGGCGGCACGCATCACAAGGGTGCGGGGGGAGGACATCCTCTAGAGGGGAGAGGGGAGGGAGGGAGGAAATGCAGGAGGAGGAGTAGGAGGAGGAGGAGGAGGGTATCCTGTGAGGGGGGTGGGGGGAGGGGGGAGGGCTCCTTAGACGGAGGCTGCTTCTTAGAAGTCGCCGGCCTTACAGTCGGGGCGTTGACCTAAGGCACCCTAAATAAGGAACGAGGCCTCTTTTTTTCCATAAGTTGAACTTCGATTTCCTATCGAAGCTATAAGGGAAACCTGAGGCAAGCTGTGAAACACTTAAGGAACGCGGAGCCCCTCCCCAAACCAAAAGGGTTCCTTCTTCGGGGCCCCGACTGTACATCTATGGATGAGGCCCGCGCCTTCTAAGCAGGGGTGCTTCTAAGAGGCCCTCCCCCCTCCCCCCACCCCCCTTGTGCGCGTGGCTGAGCTCTGCTCCGCGCCCACCCGTGGGCGCCTCCGCCCCGCCTGCCGCGGCTGCGGCCGCGGCTGTCGGAGTCGCTGCGGCCTGGCACGGCGCGGGCCGGCGGGTGCGGGCCTGCTGGCCGGCCTGGCTCGGGCGCTGCCTGCTGAAGGGGGGGCGAGGAGGTCGCACCTGGGCCAGGAGAACGGCCGTCAAGAGCGTGGCACCCTCCGCCGGCCAGGACACACAGAACATCCAAGGGTGCCCTCCCCAGGATACACAAGAAAATCCAACAAACACGAAGAACACTAGGGTACCCTCCCCGATCCGACCTCGATCTTCTGCCTCGGCCCGGCTGTAACGGGGGGGGGAAAGACGTGCACCTCTCGTGCCCCTCTTGGGCCCCAGAGGGGGCCCCTCTGGGGCACAACACGTGTACCTTTCTTCACTCCTCCACGCATCGTCCCCCATTGCGCAACGCCCGAGTGCCCTGCCTTGACTTGCCTGCCTCCTTGCCGGTCTGCCTCCCCCCGTTGTTCCCTGCCACCTCCCCTGCCTCAGAGGCGGATGGGTTCAACGGGGGGCGGTATGAAAGTAGGAAGGCCTGCGAAGACATCTCGAGCCAGCGGCCCAAAGGAACGCTGCCATCCACTAACAACGACCCAAGAGAGAACGATCTATATCACGCACCCGCTACTTCAAGGCTCTTGGCGAGCTTCATGCTACCTGCAGAACCCCTGGCATCCCAAGGTTGGCGAGGTCTTCCAACAAACGGCTGACCCCACACTGAGTCTTCCCCTTGCACGAAGCAGGAGGATGCTGAACAAAGCCCACGGCAAGCGCCGAACTGGTCTCTTCCGGGCATGGACAAAGCAGAAACACAGCGGTGCGCAAGACGAATGTCGCAGGAGCGGGAGGAAACACTAAGTTTGACGCTTCGTGGTGAGGCGTATCCTGTGCGAGCTCACGATGCCAACTTCTGGGCCCGTCACTGGGCACACAGACGGCGAATCGGGCCCTCCGCGCCGCGCCTCTGACGCGTTCGTCGAGCTCTGGCCGCAGACGCGCGGACCTCCGTCCTCGCAGGGCGCTGGACATGGTGGCAAGGCGAACGACTGGGGGGAGGGCCTGGTGCCCAAAGCCGCTCATGGTTTTTCCCAACCATCCTGTGGTCTTGGGTCCTCGCTTTGAGGAGACAGCGTCCCGCGTTCCTTCCTCCCGCTGCCCCCCCCTTCCCCGCTGCCCTTCTTCGCCTCCGCCCTCCGCATGCCTCTGTTTCGGCACAACCCTCTTGCGCTTCGTGACACCAAAGGGAGCTCCACCTAGGGTCCCAGTGGCGGAGCTCGCATGGCATCCCCGCCCAATGTTTGGCACACCCCTCACACGCTTCGTGGCCCAGCTCCACTGAAGGGTCCCAGTGGCGGAGCTCGCATGGCATCCCCGCCCAATTGTGGCACACCCCTCACATGTTTCGTGGCCTCCTAGGGAGCTCCACCGAAGGTCCTAGTGGCCGAGATCGCATGACATCCCCGCCCTATTTTGGCACAGCCCGCACACGTTTCGTTTCCCCTGAGGGAGCTCCACCTGAGGTCCCAGTGGCGGAACTCGCCTGGCATCCCCGCCCCATGTGGCACACCCCTCAAACGGCTGGTGGTTCCATAAGGAGCCCCACTTAAGGTCCCATAGGCGGAACTCGCATGGCATCCCCGCCCTATTTTGGCACAACCCTCACACGCTTCGTGGCCCCATACGGAATTCCACCGAAGGTCCCAGTGGCGGAACTCGCATGGCGGCGCCGCTCCATTGTGGCACACCCCTTTTCACGTTTCGTGGCCCCGTAAAGGAGCCCCATTGAAGGCCCCAGTGGCAGGATTCGGATGGCATCCCCGCCCCATTTGGGCACACCCTTCACACGGCTCGTATCAAGAGGGGGCTCCACCGAAAGCCCTAATGCCAGGGTTCGCATGGCGGCCCCGCCCCATTTTGGCGCACCCCTCACGCGTCTCGTGGCCCCATAGAGAGCTCCACCTAAGGTCCCAGTGGCGCTGTCCGCATGGCGGAGGAGGTGGAGGAGGTGGAAGAGGAGGAGGAAGATGAGGAGGACGAGGGAACAACGCCCTGGGGCAGTTTACGGCCACACCTGCTGGGCGCGGGCAGTCCGCAGCTGGACCTCGATCCCGTGGGCTCTCGCCCTGGGCCGCCGGCTGCCCCCTCGGCCGACATCGCCCAGGCGTGATCCTGGACTGCGGCCGCCACGAAGCCGGGAACGGCAAAAAGGAGGACGACGACTGGTGGCTGGAGCTCCACGCGCTGCTCTCGCGCGCCACGCGCCACGGGGACCTGCTGCTCATGCGGGCGCCGCGCATCGAGTTCTTCCTGGCAGGGCCGCCGGAGAGCTTGCGGAAGCAGCTGGAGCAGTTTGCGGCGCGCACGAAGCGGTGCAGAAGAGGGGCAGCTGCCCTTGCCAGGAAGCTGGGCTTCACTGAATTTATCATCGAGGCTTGACCTGAGGAGCGGCCCGCCCGAGCCTCGCCGTCTCTCGACGGTCTGACTGTTAGACCTCGCGCCGCGGGCGACCCGCCCGCGTCGCTGGGACCCTCTCGGGGCGACCAACGCGCGTCGCGGGAACTCCATGCTGCGCTCTGCCCAACGCCTCGCTCGCCCCCGTCGTCGCTCTGCCCAGCGGCCAGAGCCTTGCCCGCTTTCAGCCAGTTAGCTAGCTCTCTCTGCTCCGCGCAGCGGACGACCCGCGCGCGTCGCCGGGACCCCTTCGGGGCGACCGGCGTGCGTCGCGGGGACTCCGTGCGGCGCCGCGCCCGCAGCCTTGAACATTGGCGTGCGCGGGCAAAAAATATAAAAAGAACTGGAAGGAACCGGGCGCGATCCTCGTAAGGGGCGTGCCGACATGAGCGTCGACATTTGTGCGCGTAGATTCACGCGCGCGGAGACTCATTCACAATCAGACTCACTCGCGCTCACACTCATCAGTCTCTCGCGTACAGACCAATCGTCTTCGTTAGCTTGGTGTGCCCTGCCACGGATGCCGGCACGCCCCTCACACGGTTCGTGGCCCCATAGGGAGCGCCCTCACACGATTGCGGCATTCACAACTGCATATGGTCGGGCCCTTCGCCAGGCTAATTTTTTGGGACTCGACGGCCCTTCTCCACCAACGATCGGGTCGAGCGAAAGGGGGGGATAGCAAAGGGGGGGTTTGTGAATCAGCTCACGCAGCTGATTTTCCCGGCGCCTCCCGGCGCAGGAGGCGGCTATGTATCGAGGAATGGGCCCCTCGGTGAGGCCGAAACCAGCTGCATGCAGCAAATTTCGTAACCCCCCCTTTCCCAATCCCCCCCTTTCGCCCGGCCCGAAACGAACTGCGCCTGGCGGCGGAACTCCCGCGCTCCCCGGGGACGGGGAAGATCTGCGAGGCCAAGGCTCGCGGGAGGAGGAGGAGGAGGAGGAGGAGGAGGAGGAGGAGGAGCAGGAGGAGGTCCCCCGACGGCGCGGGCAGGGAGCCGACGCGGCGCGTGCGCGCGGCGGGGGCCTCGTCTGCCCCTGCCCCTGCTCGGGCTCCGGCGCCTGCTGGGGCTCCGGCGGCGGCTCGCCATGCCCCGCGAGCTGCCCGGGTCCAGGTCCCGGCGGCCCTGCTCGGCGAACTGCACCTGCCGCGCCGCCCTGCGTCCTCCGTCTCTGGAGGGGCCCTGGGACACACAAACAACAGGATTCCCCATGCTTTCCCATGCTTTCGGGGTGTTTCTGCCTTACCCCCCAACTTTTCCATATCTTCCCACATCCTCTGGGAATCGAGGATCATCTGTGCCTGTGTTTTTTCTCCTCCCTTGGTCTCGTCCGCGCCGTGCCCGCACGAGCGTGGGGCGTTGGAGTGCCTTCTACTTATTCGGCAACCCACCAGTCGACCAGGCGCAGCGCAGCTCCGTGACGCATGCGCGCGCACACGGGTGACGGGACGGATTTGCGCGCCCCGTGCCGACTGCCCATCTTGCGAACATGATCCCGCCGTTCTCACCTGCATCCCCCATGCTCGACTGCTATGGGCCTAGACGCGGACACGTCACGTGTTGGCATCGAAAAAGTGTTTGTGCAGATGTATTTGTCAGTTGTTGGTCGGTCTTCACACGTCTCAACAAAAACTGTTGCCATCCTCATCAAGATCACCATGCTAACGTCCACCAACCCATTTGACTTCTAAGCGCAGCTGGCGTTCAAGTATGTTGCGCACAACGAGTAGAAAGCCATTCCTGTTTCAAAGGGACTTTTCAGTATTTCTCTTTGTGTGAAGGCAATGTGTTCTCAACGGTAGTGCACACAATCCCTGCTTGTGGGCGGAAGCGCAGGGACCGCATGTTAACCGCGTAGCCGCGCTGGCGGCGCAATAGCAAGGTACACAGTTGCACGCTCACAGTAGGAGGATGTAAGCAACTGTCATTGAAGCTCGAACTGAACACGTCACAAATGCAAGGGAAGAGTTGGAACGATGCATCAGAGCTGAAGGGGGGGGGACGCGGCGTTCAGAAGGGGACAATGAGCTGGGCCCAATCTGCGCCGTCCAGAGCCGCATGCCATGGTGCACATGAACGTTACGTCAGCGTGCGCCGTCAAGCCACGTCGAACCGCGCCGTCGGAAGGTTTCAGCGTGCACCGACGAAGCACACTAGCAACTCGCCAATGCCACCGAGAATAAGTCGCCAATGCCACGGCCACACACCATCTGGAATCCTGTGCACGCGTGGCCCGATATGTATGCTTTGTGTTGGGTTCTTCCAGCACCGTGCGCCACGGAGGGCTCTCGGGTCATGCATGGCCGTTGGATGAAGCACGCCTCTGAGCGGCGGCACGAGCACTCCCCCCCTACAATACCTAAACCATTCGCAACCATACGGCAAATTCGTGTCGTACCAACTTTGGCGTTGGTCTCTGACACCGTAGGGATCGTTCAATCTTGAACGATCGGCCGGTTCCGGAAGGTCAGATCGTTCAACATCGACCGATTCTGGGTTGCCGCCGGCGTTCAACGTTGAACGCCCGCGGCGGGTTCGCCGCCGGTCGACATGACCCGAACCTACCGTACCCATACTCGTCTGTCCCCCCCCCCCCGTCCTGCCCCACGCCCCACCCCTTCATCCACGCGGATACATTCCCCATTCTCGCCGTACGCACCCCTTGGCCCTTCTGCTCCTTATCGCCCTCTGCCCAAGCGACCTTCAGGGGTTGACCATCGAACCTCTCGCCATCCAAACTTTTGACCGCGTTCTCTGCGTCCTCCGCATGCGAGGGTGCAGAGAATGAGAAAGGCGATGGATAAGAAAAAAGAAATAACTCTGTCCTGCCACGAGCTCCCTCCTTCTGATGTTTCTCTGCCTGGTCCTCCTGCTCCTCGTTGTCTTCCCCTTCCCATCTCGATCACACGATGCGACGGATCGCACTCTGGCGTGAAGACACATGCTAAAAGACATACCTCAATGAGTTCACGTCATCCTGACCCCAACGCCCTAGGAGATACGGCCTGCAGCGGCGCTTCCTGACACCGCTTCTCCTTCACCCGCTGCACCCAGCCACGCATTCGACATCGGCGTTTTCGCGGGAGAGGTCCTCGCGAAATCGGCCCCAAGGGGTAGAACATGCACACCAGAAGCCTGGCCGTGTCTCCTGACACTGTGTCTGCATTATCCTACGACTCCGCCAACGAATTCAGAACCGCCATTTCATCGTGGCCGCCCTCCAACAATTGTCTCCCATACCTTCTCGAGGAGCTTCAGGCATGCTCCAGTATATGCACCAATCTGCCCCTGGGAATCACCCACGGGCCCCCAGTATGCCCTCCTGGCAATGACTCCGCTCCATCCAGTGAAACTTGTGAGTCGAGTAACCGGAATTCAAACAAGCGCTTTCGCGTTGGATGCCCTTGCGACATCGACTCCAAGGATGTCTTCCACCACTATTCAATTTTCTGCATCATTCGAAGAATCTGGCGGCGAATTTCGAACTGGCACCTCCACGTACTTCACATTGGATACCTTCGCGCAATCAGGCCCCAGGTTCCCCCAAGCGGCTTCAAACACGCACCAATTTGCGTCGAGGCACCACGATGTCCTAAGAAGACCTCAAGAGGCCCCAAGATGCACCGAAGAGACTCAAGGTGCCCGCAGGAGGCCCTCGCATGCCAAGATGCCACCACGAGGCCCCGAGATGTCCCAAGCGGCTTCACCCCCACCAGCGATCCTAAATGAAGCCCCCCACCGTGGCTCCTGGCAGCGTTTCCGCTCATTCAGCGAATCCGGTGACTCCGGCGACAAGCTCCAGACCGCCATTCTCGTGTGAGAGGCCCTGGGGCAAAGACGTGGTGCTGGGCCTTCCCAGGAAGAGACATACGAAATGCTCCAGGATGCGCCAAATGCTCCAAAGCGTCCCCAGGCGGCCCCGAGATGCGCAGAAAACCTTATGCGCGCGTGCGTGCGCGCGCGCGTGTGTGTGTGTGTGTTTGTGTGTGCACGTTTTTATTATGCAAAGTTGGTAGTCTCAAGATGACGCATGCAAAAGCTTACCGATTCACCCGGCCGGTGACTTGTCCACTGGCCCTTCTGGCAGGCGCCACAGCTATATTATGACTGCGGCCTGCTCTTTGGGCCTCTCGGCGGAGACGCTCGTCTTCAGCATCAAGGCGAGAGATTTCTGCCTCAGACATCGGCAAGAGATTCGATAGAATCCACTCGCGGCAACGAGGCCGGCGAGAGTCAGAGACGTGCGCCATCGTGCTGCAGGCTCGGAGTGGAGCGCCCCCAGGTATGTTGAACCCTCCACCTTACAATGTGTGCACGGCAGGGCCCAAGACACCCATCTCACGGGCTTGTTTTTTGTTTGTTTGGGACTTGCCACAGGAGCCGGCTCTGCGCGCGCTGACACCGACAGGCAGAACAGGCACATATTATTCCCAGATAGTCGCCGCTCTACCTCCCCTCACTCGTCAAGGCTCCTGCTGTCCTTCGGGTGGAGGCCTCGAAGGATGCGGTCCGCTCTTCGGCGGCGCACCCTGTCAGCCTTGCTGGGGTTTGCGGGCCAAGTGCTCTTGGACTTTCGGGCGCTCCCGCGGCTATCCGCATGATTTCCGGGCTCCCACGAAGCGCTGATGGGAAGCCAGAACTTCTTGCAAACCTTCACGTTACCTCACTGGTCCGTTCTGGAACCGTTCTGGGGGTCTCCCAGGCCGTTTTGGAAGCTCTGGGGGGCGGCCCAAGATGCCTAAGTCGTCGACAACTTCCTTGTTTATGATTTGACAATTCTAGCCTCGCCTGTTGTCAGAGCGTCCGAAACGGCGCAGGTCCTCCACATATGAGTCCCCCCAAAACGCACCCACAGGTCCCCGAGAGGCCCCCAGAGGCCCCCATGCGGCTTCCAGAGGCTCGCAGGATGCTCCCAAGCGGCTCCCACTAGACCTTCAAGAGGCCCCTCAGGAGACCCAACCATGCCTCCAGGAGGCGTCTGATTCACGACCTACAGTCATCGACCTGACCTGAGGAACGATGCATAAGAAACGGAGCCCCTTTTTACCCTAGGGAAAAGTAACGCATCAGGAACGGTAAGTAATACATAACACATCAGGAACGAACAATAACGCATGCAAGCCTAAGGAACGACCGAGCCCCTTTTGAAAACCAAGTGTTCCTTATTCAAGCCGCTCACTGTAGAGACGGTGGCGGGCTTGGCCCCATCAACCGCAGAGCGGCCAGCCAGTGCTGCAGCGTGGTCTACAAGCAGTGTTCGGCAGGTAGGCGTTCGCCACTAGTGGGGGCCGGCCTGGCCCTGCCTGGGAAGGGGCAGCCGCGCCGACGACGGTGGTCCGTGCGGGTAGTCGCAGGGCTAGACGGGGCTAGTAGGGACGCGTGATGGGAAAGGGCACTGCTGCTGAATGGGGCGAGTGGCGAGTGGGAGCAAGGGACTCGTGATGGGAAAGGGCACTGCTGCTGAATAGGGCGAGTGGCGAGTGGGAGCAGCCAGAAGTTACACAAGGGCCAATGGAAGGAGGGGCGCTGGTGCAGAACATTGCCAACGAGACTACCGAGAATGCCAGCAAGGGTCATGGACGGGAGCGGGTAAGGGCGATACAAAAAACAAGTGAGAGCTAGTGGCAGGAACACGCGTTCGCGCCAAAGAGGGATAGCTGAACCAGCATGGCCTGGTGCCAAATATTTGAGACTAATAGGAGGGCCAGCAGGCGCTGTAGCAGTGTGATGGGAGCGGGCACTGGCGCCAAATATGGCTAGTGGAACCTGTCAGAGAGCAAGCTGGGGCAGCAAGAACTGGCGACGGGAACAGGCAATGTCGCTTCACCGAGGACGAGTGGAGCGAGTGGGAGGGGAACCCAGCGGGGGAACCCGAGCGGCTCGCTCGGCGTGCCATCCTGCTTGTCGTGAAAGCGGACGAAGGCGAAGCCGCGACCCTTCTGTGTCTGCGGGTCC